CTGTTCAGATCAACGACAGTGATCTGTGCAGAAGTGCGTTCCTCTCCACAGCCGCTGCGGAGTCAGTGAGAGCCAGCAGCAGCGGTGGAGGAGGCTTGACTCGGCAGTGGAGGAGGCGGGGCCCGGGCTCGGCAGCAGAGGAGGGTTGGGGCCCGGTGACAGAGGAGGCAGGCTCGGAAGAGGCGGGCCCGACGACTGAGGAGGCGGGGCCCATCACCGACGGTGGAGGAAGAGGAGGCGGACAGGTAAGGAGTGTGACCAGCCCATCTGAGACCCTGCGGTGGGCTGGTTACACTCTCTATGGCGGGCTCTGCAGGGTCACCCTCAGGTGGGCTGTGTGGGATCTCAAGCGGGCTCTGCAAGCGGTGTAACTAGAGATCACAGTGCCCCATACAAAATGTTTCTATGGTGCCCTGTGATTTCAAGTTACGCCCCTGGAGCGAAGCACGTAGTAAAAACGGAAGAGCCAGCCGCACTCCAATGACATCAACAATGGCAAAGCTTTATTGTTGCAGACTAAATCAGAGAAGGTCCGTCAAGACCCTCCTTAGATGACCGGTTTTACCCAGAAATGGCTTAGTTGCAGAGACAGTTCTACGGGTGAAATCACACCGGTGGGGAATGTCTGGGTGGACCTTCTGTGATCAAAGATTTGGCATTGCTGATGTCATTGGAGTGCAGCCGGCCCTTGCATTTCACACATAAATACAAATGTAATGCTTAAAATCGCTGATCTGCTCTTAGCAAGGTTCTACACTGCAAAAACTTGAAATCCTGTTTGTCATAATAAAATCAAATAAAAGCTCATATTTAACCTTGGTATTGAAAGATATAAAATGATATAACTATTGCGGCATGGCGGTTTCATGACACAACGCACAAGAGGCAGCGTGTGGGTTGTAAAGCTCCCGCAATTATCACAATGTAACACACATGGAGGGTAATTTTCCTGTTACTCACACTACTCAGTGATGTCATAATGTCCACAATTCTCGGAATTCCATGAGGATATATCAATTATAAAAACAGTGAGACGTCTGCTGTGATCACACCATGCTAATTAATATTACACTGCAAATTGCATCAGAGGGGAGCGGACTCATGAACAGAGAATGCAGAACGCGGAGAAGACTAAGACGGGATTTACAAGAAAAACCTAATCCAGTCATTAAAAATAAATCAGGGTTGGAAAAAAACAAAACAAAACAAAAAACTGATGTAGGAGTTCAGGAGGCAATTACAGAAGACCTCTGCTCCACGTGTATAAGCAGGTTCTATAGCTTTCTTCTAATAAGCATGAAAGCCAGGATTCTGCAAGATTTACATTTCTACTTCATTTAGGAACTCAGTGTCTGTCCCGGCCCATCTCCTGTGCTTCATATTGGTCCATAAAATGTGATGGTTTGCCCATTGATGGAGGCGGGCCAAGCAGCATTACATAGATAAAGTTACACTTTATGGGACTTGTCTATCTCTGTCTCCCAGAGAAATATAGAAGAGCAGGCAGGTTACAAGCATGACAATCAAACCAAAAATTACTTAAATGGAACAATTATTTTCAAATGGTTAATCCAGGGGTGCCCACAATTTTTGTGTTAAGATCTACTTTTCAAATGACGAGCTACATGAGATCTACCAATGAAGGAAAAAAAAAAAACTCTGGCTGTCTCTCCTTGCTCATCCTCCTAGCGGTCTCTCGTCTCTCTCCTGGCTGCCTCTCCTCGAGCTCGCTCTCTGTCTCTCTCTCTCTCCCCTGGCTGTCTCTCCCCGCTCTCTCTCCTGGCTCCCCTTGCTGTATTTGGCAGCAGGCTGTGTAAAATATTCTTTGATGTAATATATAGCACTTCAACCACCAGTATCCACCAGAAAGGTGTCAGGGAGCTCGGCTCAGCAGACTCAGGCTAATAGGTAATCATGTGTGCACAGCTAAATGGGGCCGCCATTCACACCCTTCCTGATCTACCAGCATCAGCTTTGAGAGCTACTGGTAGATCACGATCTACCTAATGGGCACCCCTGGGTTAATTTGTTCAAATATTCTTTCTCTGGAAGACTGCAGTTTCCACATATTTACTAGTCTAATAATGTGGTGGTCAACTTATTTGATAATTGGGGGTCTCAAGTATGGCCCTGACATTAACAAAGAGGTACATTTTATTCAGTGTAATGCTTAAGAAGCCGGACAAGGACTGTGGGGGTCACTGCAATAGATGAGACTGCAGACGTGCTACAGGAGATGGCCAGAGACTGCAGACGTGCTACAGGAGATGGCCAGAGACTGCAGACGTGCTACAGGAGATGGCCAGAGACTGCAGGCGTGCTACAGGAGATGGCCAGAGACTGCAGGCGTGCTACAAGAGATGCTCAAGAACCTTGAGCAAACACTTTTATGGGATCCTAGTTGGGCACAAGGGGTCCAATAGCGTTTTATATCAACATCTGTACTGCTGACCTGTGCGCTTCTTTAAGGCAAAGGGAAGTATGAAAAGCGAAGGATCCAGAGCAGCCTTTCTCAAGCAGGGTTCCTCCAGAGGTTGCTGGGTGTTCCCGAAACAATGAGCAACTCCTACCTCTCAGACAAGTTGCCACTGACACCACAATCTTTTCAGCTATCTGTAAGGGGTAGCATTCTTCCTTCCCACAAACCACCAATGTAAGGGGCCTTTTTTCCACTGTACCCCATTCTGCTCCACTAACCACCAATGTTACAAAGCACTATTCTGACCCAGGGGTGTGGAATTCCTATCGCCAAGACAGGCAGTTTCGGGCGAGTAGTTTTTTTCTACATTTAGCCCGGCTGCGGGCAAGCAGCACGGCTAAATGTAGTGTGGGAGCCGTTTTGTACGAGTGATTTTAAAGGGCTGTGCAGCCGTCCAAAAATCACTTGTAACCTGCCTGAATCTCACTCCCCCTCTCCTCCCCCCTCCATCTCCAGCGGCCGGCCGGCCGTGTACCGCTCCCAGCTGCCTGTCTCTCTGCACCTGGGCTTCCTTTTTGCCCTAGTCTTCGCCCCCCCTCTTGTGGGGGATTGATGACCACGGCAAATTAGGTTAGAGAGCATGGAGCAAGGCAGAGAACGGTTCTCTACTCTGCTCCATGTGTGCAGTGACACAGGAATGCAGCCTTCCTGTCACAGGAGAAATAGCACAGTGCTGTGCTAGAACTCCTGTGTTGGAGGTGACAGGGTCAATAAAGAGAACCTGTCACCTCCAAAAGCTATCACACAAGGGCTTGTTACCCTTGTGTGATAGCAATAAAGTCAAGTAAAAAATAAAATATATAAAACACTTAAAAATGTAAACATAAAATTGGAAAAAATAATAAAAATGTAAATACATAAAAATAGAAGAAAAAAAAGTCGATAAAGTAAAAAAATAAAATAATGAAAAAAAAAAATATTACAAAAGCAAAAAAAAAAAGTTAAAAACTAAAAAATTAAAACCAATCCCTATCATCTGCATGCGAATAAACGAATGCATGGGGCATTGTGCGAGTGGAGTGGGCGATCCGTTACCACACGGCAATCGTGCCCAAAACCGCGTGGATGGCCGGGCGGTCACAGAATCTCACACCACCGCCGATCACGCTGGCAGTGCCATTATTGTCTAACAGCACCCCAGTCGCACAAGGAAGATTGCGCAGTTTCCCGCCACAATAACGGCCGTGCAAATGCACATAATCGCGATTGAAAACATTCCGAGATTACCACGCGGTTGTAACCCCATTGAAATCAATGAGGCCGCGAGGCAACCGTACACGGCCTCACCCAAGTCTGCACCCGCCCCAAACGGTAAATTCACTTTCCCAAGTACTTTGGAAAAATGGAATTACCCGCACAAATCTGGTCCAGACACCATGCCCCCCACTATACTTACCTTTCAGGGAACGGTCCTTCCCATCCGCCAGTATGGGTGTACTATCTGCACCTGTGCCATTGTAATCTGAATTTCGCTCTCAAAATTCAAGCACTCGTTGGTCGGCGCAGTCATCTGACGGCACTAACCAACGAGAAGCTCTTCTTGGCATTGCTAAATACGGTTATGGTTAATTTTTTTCTTTTTTTGTATCAGGACAAGTAGATTTTCATGAGGGACAAGTAGATCAGGCCCCCTGCTATAGTCCTTGGACAAGTAGTTTTTTTTTTAAATTTCCACACCCCTGTGACCACCATTGTAATGGGGACTACATTATCCACCAATGTATGGGAGAAGTATAGTTTTTATGGTCTGCATTTTTTTTGACCATTAATCTTGTTCCAATATTCTAAATACAACAAATGCCTTATCCTTTTATGGATCATTATATTCACAACTTACATTTCACACTATTGTTCTGTGAGAGCTATAGATATAATTATTAGCAGAGGTTCAATGAGACCTAGTTATTTCAAGGGTTCCTTCATGGTAAAAAGGTTGAGAAAGGATCGTGGGTCGTCTGTGTTGTTCTGTTTGTCTATTCCCCCTTTTGTTTCGGTGTCTGCCTGTCTGAGTTTCCCCCGTTATACTGTTACATGCACTATGCCGCTGGAGTTGACAACTACAATTTTTGATGCACGAAGTGCAAAGATACGTTAGTGGTGGTAGAGGCTCGGACCTTTTCCCAGCTTTACCTTTGATGGGGTTTGTTCTCATTCCTTTATGTTTGTACTTTATATGAAAATGTGCTCAATAAAAACTTAATGCAAAGAAAAAAGGTTGAGAAAGGCTGAACTAGAGCAAGCAATCCTTTATGATCATATTATCAATAATAATTCCTATACTCATCGGCATCTAGGGCTGCTAATGCCGTGCACATGTTATAGTCGGGCGGAACTTTTATAAATGAACCTCAAAGTATCCATATGCAAAATCAGATATGTCTAGCAACATGACAAGTCTCTTTTGCATATGGCAAACCAGTTTTCAGCTGTGATATTTCCTTTTCTTCCAAGTGCAGATAAGAAAAGAAAAGCAGCTATTGGACTGGTTGCTATTTCTTTCACTGTTATGTTTTCCACTTACCATGTCCATTACAGTAGTAGATCCATTTCTCTCGGTTCTGGGTCACGGCTGTGGTCTTCTTGAAGCCAGCTTTCTCCACAATAGAACTTGGATCCTGCTTTGGTCCTTTTTTGAGTGTGCGTGAGCTTTTCCTGACGCTACAAACCACAATGATCACAAGTACGAGCAGCAAAAAAAGTACAATCATCCAAGGTAAGTGCTCATTAATGTCAAAATGGTGTGGGACTTGTCGTGGAGGCCCCCGCTTGGTGGTCTTAAAGACCGTGTTCTTAAGTCCTTCCCCTCCGCCTTTCGCCACCCCTGGCGGCTGGGCCCCTTCCATCAGCTGGGGAGGCTTCTCATGAGGTCTTTGATGGTGTCCTGCTCCCGGGTCTTCAGTCATGTTCAAGTATCTAGTTTCATTCTTTTCAGTTTCGTTGTAAACATCTGTGGGCTCTGAAACACGAGCAGAGACGATGTATTAGTTAGAAGTAAGGGGAGAACTTGAGAGCATTAACAAACGTGTAGGCTGTTGGTCTAATGAACAACTAAACTCCGACCTCAGACTTCCTTGTATAAACTCGGGAGTGAGCCAAACGCTCCTAATTATAGCACAAGTAATCTTTCATATAGGCTGAGGTGGAACGGCTTGATGATCTCACTCATTTACATTGGCAGGCAACAGAGCCGAAGACCGGCCGGGAAAACCACACACACCTGCTGGAAGGCAAATTTAGGAGATCAGAAGCAAATGTCAGGTAAAGTATATGAAAGGAACTTTCTGTGAGGACATAAAAGAAAAAAAACACATTTCTTTAAAGAAAAACCTCCTCAAAAAGAAGATAAGCTTTTCCAGCACTTACAATGGCCACTATCTGTTTGTAAAATCGGTGATAATAGTAACTCGTGTTCAGCATCCCCAAAGCTAAATCCTACACAAAGAACTCGGATTTTATAAAACTTATCCTTGCAGGGGCGCTACCCCAGCACTGCACGGATTAAAGGAGAACTATGAGGTGAGTGAAAATCACTCAGCCTCATAATCTGAGCCGACCAATGAAACTGTCACAGGTCGGCTCAGTAGATCGGGAAGTGAGCGAACACATACCGGCGCTCGCTCACTTCTCGATCTATCCGTGCAGAGAGCCGTGACCGTCACTCACGGTTCCCTGCAGGGATTCCCCCTTCCCTGTCCAATCCTCCAGCGCTGACTGACGGAAAGAACGTGGGAGGGGGAGGGTACAGATGGCTCTGACTCCAGATAGGTCAGAGCCAGCTGTCACTCACGCAGCTGGCTCTGTCGTTCCGACGTCTCAGTATACCGCGAGCTAGACGGGAGGACGCTAGTTTGTGTTCTCCCGTTACCCTAAGGAGAACTATAGGGAAAAGCCCTAACCCCATAGTTCTCCTTTAAGTGCTCGTTTTTGTCTAGGGGCCAGAAAAAAAAGAAGATATACTCACTTGATCCTCGAGCAGTCAGTGCTCACCACACTCCCCTTCCACTCCAGCATGTCCCTTGGCATCCACACATCTAATGCAGGTCAATGGACCCGCATAATGACGTCAGCGGTCCTTAGACCGCCCTAGCCTGGGGGAGAAAAGTCTGCGTGGAGTGGTCTGGCAGCCAGGTAGGATCAAGGATCAGGTGAGTACAAACCTTGCAGTGCAGGGGTAGCCCCACTAAAATGGTTATTATTGTAAGTCTTGGAGTTCCTCTTTAAAATGTTTATAGTGAAAAATATTGAATCCTGGAAACATTACGGAGTTAATGTGTAATGACAGGGTGTAGTTTTCCTTGTTTTATTTCACATGCCGCTCCACTAAAAATGGCAGTTGCGTCAATCTATTTTAACAGGCAGTACTGTGCTCTGGCACCCAAGGCAAAGATGCCAAGATGGATGGAGCTTGCCTATCCATACATGCAGTGCAGGGTGCAGACATGACAGCTGCTGGCGACTGGCCCTAAGATTACTAGCTTTTGATCTATGGAAACCAACATGGATGGGGAGGTGGGGCTGAGTGATGTGTTGTGTTAGGTTAGTGAGATTTAGTCATAATGATCATGCTGAAACAGGGGCAAGCTTTCACTATTCGATGGCAGGAGCCTGAGCATTGTACTAGTGACCCGCTGATCGCGGTTGCAAAGCTCTGCAAGCTCCAATGCAAAAAAATGAAAGTGCACATTTTTACTTTGATCACTGTGGGTGCATCTATTCCATTTTTTGTCCAAAAGGTAGACTATGCCTTTAATTTAATGAAAAATATGAACCAGCCCCTCCTGCCTAAATGGATGTATTGGGTTTACAACTCCTTCAAACCTTATCTGAAACTACATGTCCACAGGGTGACAATGCTGCTGTGCGATTTAACTGCAGAACGACCAGCGTTAACGGTGTGATCTCACTGTAGACGATGTGGCATTGCCAGCTCACTACGCTAGTTAGGAGCTCACTGGATTTTTGGCACATCAGCAGCTAATTCTCTGAACTTGCCGATCTCTAAATGAACTTTGTGGTTTCCCCTGGGG